ACAAGGGCTTTATTCGCCTGACGTTTCGGATTCTCACTTGAACCCATCATCAGAGACAGCGGCAGAAAAGGGTGACTCGTGCACAGGAAGTTGCAGTATTTATAGGATGCAGTCGCTATGCTACCACATACCCATAGTAATTAACCGCGCTCCCCTTCATCGAGAATGGCTTCCCGCTGGTGCATTAATTGCTTGATGGCCGGCATGCAAGTTGTTAATTGCTGAAATCTCATCACCCGTGTTGGATACTGGCGTGATGATTGCTCGGCCATTTGACTCACCGGATTGCGCGCTCCCCGAGTGCTTAATTACTTTGGCCAGCCTATGCTTCAGCACGGAATATGGAGTGGGAATTCCGTTGCACTTGTTGATAGGATGAGGTCCCTTGAACCATGACTCAAGCAATTCCCGGCTCACGCGATTATCCCCTCTTGCGAGAATTTCGACCTCATCGAACTTGAATGTGTGGCGGGGTCTCGTCAAATGGGCCACGACCTGAGAGTTGGCGTCATTTCTCCGTACCGCCGCCGCGTGTTCGGCAATTGGCGTCCAGAGCAGCCTTCCGGTTTCTCCGACGTAGTTTCTTTGTCCGCAACTGCACCACATGCGGTAAAGGACTCCAGTTGTTTCTTGTCGTGGCAGTGGGTCTTTTGGTCTCATCACCTGACGCCTCATGGTGGCCTCCGGTCTGTGTGCAACTCCAACCCCAAGTGGTGCGACAAGGCGACTAACGGCCTCTGAGACGATCTTGACCACTCGGGGAGCGCGTAATCCGGTGAGCCAGATGGCCGAGCAATCATCACGCCAGTATCCAACACGGATGATGAGATTTCAGCAATTAACAACTTGCATGCCGGCCATCAAGCAATTAATGCACCAGTGGGCGGCAATCCTTGATGAAGGGGAGCGCGGTTAATTACTATAGGTATGTGGTAGCTTAGCGACTGCATCCTATAAATACTGCAACTTCCTGTGCACGAGTCACCCTTTTCTGCCGCTGTCTCTGATGATGGGTTCAGGTGAGAATCCGAAACGTCAGGCGAATAAAGCCCTTGTTCCTGCGATCGCTTCTTCTTCCGATCAACTAGTTCCCGGAACTCGCATCTTCGCTTGTATCGGTTTAGGTTGTTCTCACATCCTTGACCGCCACAAATTTTTTTGGCAATTACCAAATAACATTTCGATTCCAATATACATGCGGCACCTTACCGATTGTCAAAATGACAATATCCACGACCAGCTCGAACAGCTTTTTGGTTCGCACGACTTAGCACTAAACCTGGGGCATGGGTGGAGGCTGATCATTCGTTTGCCGCTGCAAAAATGGAGGGTTGGACATTTACACTCTGAAAAGCTGCCAAAGCGGGAAAAATACTTAATTTTCAAGTAAACGGTCGCAAGCAAAAAATGCAGTTGTGTACATACGTCGGTTTAATATGTCGAAAAGCGCTGGAAACCAGAAAATCGAAGGTAAACTTTCCAAGACATAAAGAACAGGAAAAACGACCTTACGAATTGAAAATTTATTGTCCCTCGTCTTCGAAATATAACAAGCTTCACTCGTCAGAAGATGGAAGGATACGGAGATTCGCAGTAGTTAATGTTATTTTTGTGCCTGATGGCTAAATTTTAGTCAAAGGGCATCGCAGCAGCTGTGTTCGCCTGTGCCCTGGTTATCTACAGTGACGGTGTGGAGTAAGGAAGAGGAGGGGCTGTCGATTTCCGGAATGCAGATTTTACCTGCGTTTGCGCCTGTACTCACTGTTGTTACACTGCTCGCGGGGCTATTGTGCCCAAAACTCTCATACTATTGCTGGATGCCAATCTAGTATGTCAGGGCGTCAGGTGTATCGACTAACCGGTAAGGGAACACGCAATGTGGGATTGGTCGGTTGCTACAGGGTGTCGTCACGTGGTAGTTGTTTCGCTCGGTTCTCAACTGACATTAGCTTCTCATATATGGTCTCACTTAACTGTGTTTTGGTTAACGGCCACGCTCTGGTAATCGCCCACGACCGGCGGACTAAACCAGATGAGGGTGTCCGGAATGTGTGGCTCTGCACTCGGTGTTTCCTTCGCTAATATTCCCATGTTCCCTCGTCACCCTCAAAACAAAAAGCCATACAGAGAGGATCACATGAAATTACGTGGGCTGCTCGGGCTAAATCCGGTCGCCTTCTCACTGTATCAAAGTCTTGACCCATTGGGGAGTTCGGCAGCTGTCTGCAATGACTCACCAGCCATATTTGTGGGCGAACTGCTTACCGACACCAACTCCCCCCCCCTCCCCATCATCGACGGTGAGACCAGAAAAGGTGCCCTAGAAGATTCCGGCAAACATACCGTCGATAGGTTATCTGTGGGTCGCTGGGGCAAAATTCGCTCCCGAAACTCCTTAAGAAACAGCGTCCACTCCCAATGTCTGCCAGTCTGACTGCGCAGTCTGACATCCAGTGAGTAACCGGTCAGTAAGAAGGACAACTCTGATCATTCGGGAGTCTCAGAAATACTCGCTGGTCAGAGGAAACACAAATGAGTGAAACTGGTGTGGGATTCACTCTTCCTGAAACAGACGTTCAAACCCAGAACGACGAAACGCTGGATCCAGTCCTGTCGTCACGAAATACAACGAACCAACTACACGAATCAACGCTCGCTTCGTGATCCTATGCCTGCCTCTCAACAGGAACAGATTCGTCATTGACGTCGGTGACTACGCCTGCCCGTCCACCACTGTCCAGATGTGACTATGCGAAGGACTACTACTACGAGTATTTGCACGTCCTCGCACCTACATCGAACATAATCGTCTCCTCATTAACGCTTTCAAAGTCGTTAATAGGCAAAAGTGGGTTCATCCTCGCTCACGTAACTCACAGTTGATAACCTACTTTCCATCTAGGAGGCGTATCCCGCGTGATCTGTTAGTAATAAAGGCGATGTGCACTGCGAAATGCTGAAGTGATTGCTACCTTGTAGTCCCTAGGATGGTGTTATGAGCCCTTCTCTGCGGGTGACAGCAAGCATACACCAGGTAAGTTAAACAAGGCATCACTTGACAACACCGAACGTCGTTTGATTTTTTGCTATCAAATGAATGCTAAATAAAACGCGATGGAGAATGCCGCGGGACGCCATCCACGCCACCGCTCTGGAAGCCCTTTGTCGCGCATTCCGGCAGCGCTAGCAATGGTTCATCAATGGCAACGATGAATACCTCTACTCTCCATTAAAAAGCAGGCTATACACGATCTACGTCAGCACCAAGACCGACACCAGCAGAACAGCACGCTTCCGATGCCGAAAACGAGTACAGAAGAGACCACAGGAGCGGAAACATGCTTGGATGGCTCACAAGACCGAAGAAGTCCAAGGGCAAGTGGGTCACAGTGGAAAACTTCCTCGCGGTTATGAAAGTGGTCTAAGACCCCCAACATATCGATACCTCACCGCTGCTCATTTCCGCTGAAACAATCCTCCTGACAAAAAATTCGCAAATTTTGGGACGTGGGGATGGGCATTTCAAAAGAGCCCTCAGTCTGAAATCCAAACTTTCCTACGAAGCCAATCAACAGACTGCAACAAATAGAGATCGCTGCAGCCCTCTCTACAGGAGAAGCTCAGAGCCGTCCGACGACATTGCACTGTGCGCTCACTAAATTCCAGCCAAAATCAATAAACAGGGCACACTTCAAATCACGGAAGCACTCACCCCACCATCGAAGGAAATGCTAGGACAAGGAGACATCCTGTGCACTTCGGGCGGTTCAGCAGAGTCCACTGATACAAACACGGAGAACCGGTAACTCTGCCATATTCGCGAGGTGTCTTCCTCCTCGATAGCGCAGGCATATTTTTCGCCCGGTTCCTACCCAATCACTTGAACCTTCTTCTGGAATAAATACTTCTCGCCGAAATTCAGCGCGGATTTTCCGAAAGCGCAGAACCCTCCACACGATCTTTACCACACGCTATATGCAACAAAATTGTCAAGAAATGCAAGCCAACCTCTACACCGCATATGTGAACCAGGTAAAGGCCTTCGGCACCGTTAACCGGCATAGACTTTGAGAGCTCATACTGAATTCTGGATGCCGGCAGCGACTCACGCATGTGAAAAGCAACAACACAATGAAATAGTGACCTTTGCCACGGTAAACGGAAGAGTTTCGGAGCGTTTGACGTGAAACTAAAGTAGGTCGGTGGTATGTACTCGCTCCAACGTTATTTGATTTCGTATTTTGACATGGTAGTGGTTGCCTACCGTGGGAAGAGTTCGGAATGGACATTAGCAATCGAGCTGGCAGAAAAGTGCCCAGCATGCGACACACGTGTCCATTGGAGATAATTTCCAAGGTCAGTGTCCACGACCTCTTATTGGTGGTCGCGGACACTGTGAGCACCACAAACGAGGTGAAGCTGTAACTAAACGTGGAACTTTTAGCCTCCGACTGTGCAAGCCTCGGGCTAACCATTAACACGGAGAAACAGTGGTCATGCAGCAACCAGCGGCAAATGATGATTACAACGAACCCAGGATCCATATCGTTGGAATTATCATCTCAGATGTGGTCACATTCCTGTACCTAGGGGGTGCAATATAAAAAGCATTGAGCTCAGGTATGGAATTATCAGCAGGATTTTCAAAGCCAACAAGGTGTTCGGTCCACTACAGCAGTCAGTTTGGGCCCACCGCGGCCTTCAGATCCTCCAGGCGCAGGGCCAGTTGGTTGCCAAAATGTAGACAGTGAGCAGGCGGAAAGAACAAGGCGGTATTTAACTTACCTGGTTGTTGTTTACCGTGTGTCCTCCTTCGGGGTTACAGACGGAGCCCTATCTCGGAGATGGCAAGGCGGTGGTCCGTCCAGCGTTACAGATTGCCTTGGTCTCCAGCACGCCCTCTCGATCACGCCGCCGACAGAGAACATAGTTCAGCAACAACGAGCATCCAGGTGGCCTTATTCTGCATCGATGGGCGAAAGCGAGTGTTGGTCAGTTGGAGGTTATGTGTTCTGCGCGGGTCCGCAGGAGGAGGAGGAGGAGGAGGAGGAGGAGGAAGAAGCCATTGCCGTTGCAGCCGGCAACTCCTTGAGGACCCAACCCTCCCCTCCAGGCAGCGCAGTCTGTCCCGACGCGGACATTATAGTCGCCAAGGGCAACCAGCTTGCCCGCCTTCGGCACAGACGCCACGAGGGAGTGCAAATCCTCCTAGAACTTGGACTTCGTCTCGTCAGATCCGATTATTGTGAGGACGTCAACTCAGATGATGATGATGATGATGATGATGATGATGATGATGATGATGATGATGATGATGATGATGATGATGATGATGATGGCGAATTGGAATCCCTGAAGAGACAGGTACGGGCTCATCAGTCGGTCGTTGGTACTCTGCGGCAGACAGGGCAGTCTTCCCACGATATCGTTCCGGATGGCAAAGACGGCGCCCGCGTCTCGTCGCTCTGCTTTTGGGCAGCCGTTCCAGCAGAAGGTGTAGCCGGCACCCACCTTCAGGTGGCCTTGTTCGAAGAAGCGGGTCTTGCTGAGTGCAGCGAGGTCCACCTTGTGGCGCGCCAGTTCACGGGCGACTAGCGTCGTCCTCAGTTCCGGTCGGTTGTTCCTCGGAGTGTCTAAAAGGCAACGAACATTCCAGCCTGCCAAAGTGAGCGGACTCACCATAGCAGATTGTGGGGTTGGACGGAGACGAGAAGGAGGGGGAGAGGAGGAGAGTGATTTTTGTTGTTGTTCCTGTTCGCTGTAGTGTCTTGACCGCGAGATGTGTATCTACGAGCCACGTAACCGGCGTGATACCCTAGCACCTGTTTACGACACCTTTTCTAGCGCCTCCCCCACCAGGGGGTAAGTAACCTTATGCTTTACTGAGGTTGCCTATACGTCCCAGACGGTTGCGGGACTCCACTGTGGGTCACGGCTGTGTTTAGTGGAGAGCGATCCCAGTTGGCCTTTGTCGCTCAGGCCTGTCTCTCCGGATGTTGTCCGGACGTTGCAACTATGCACAGCCTAACTTCTATGAGCCACACGGGAGAGCTCAGTCCCAGTTAATGGACGCTAGGCGTAGTCAACACCTGTAAGCGTCCTCCTACGGCCTTCACGTGGACCCAAAACTGGACACTCCTACGCCCCATAAGAGAACCATATCATTAGAAGAAAACCTGAAGCGAGCGACACAAATAACTCTTTTTCGTAAACTGCCAGGACTAGGTGGTTGTTAGACCGTATCAGATTTTAATAATAAGGGAGCTCAGAACATCAATCAGTCCCAGCATAATTTTTCACACTGTCGCAAATACGACTGGGCCTTTCTAATTAAGTATTTTAAAGTTCGGTTGAGACATTCATAAACCACATCCCTAAACGTTTGTGCTGGTTATGTTTTACAGTTTGTTGTCAAGTGAGTGAATAACCTGATAAAACAGGGCTCCACTCTGTGGTACCGCTGTGGAGAATAGCACGCGTGATGTTGCTCCTTTTGAGAGTGGCATGTAACTATCGCTAAAAAATGACGTTCTGCTCTCCTTCACGAAAGCTGCTGAGAGTCGCACTGGGCACTTCGCATGCCCGACCTGAACACCGAGGGGCGAACAGGGTTATCCTATGTCCCTTTCCTCATGAACTGTAGGCTGGAGGCTAAGATGGCAGGGCGTCCTGTCCAGCCACCAGTTGCTACTTCAGATCTCAGGCCTGTCTGACCGATAGTTAACCAGTTACCAGATGACATTAAAACAGAAGCCGAGAATGACAATTTAGCATGATTTCTCTCTGCCAAGGCACGAAACATCATTTTTTATATTTTTCGGCAGGGTTGATACCCCATAATCCCTATTCAATAGCATCAGCATAAGGGAATCCCGGGTCATTCTCCTCCAAAATGACTCAGGGCGTGTGGCAGATGAATTCTGCCTGGCGAAATAAGTCACAGCAAGGTAGTCTGCTGGGGAGAACCGATATAGTTGACACTGATTTGACCTCTCACTTCCAACATTTCGGCTTGCCAGGAACAGGCTCACAAGTACATTCAAATTAACATTCCATTTCAGTAAATTAAGTTCGTTTTCTGTCCTGCGTTTTCCGATGTACACCAGTACCAATACGGAAACAAAGAGGTCTCATTTTGTCACTCTGTTTGGGATTTAATAAGTCCATGTCTGCTCATATTTTACATGACAGCGGCAGACAGTCTTCGGTCATAGAGACAAACTGTTTGAATGAGTTATCTGACTGACTGATATTAACAACGCTTAGCGCCAATTCCTCATTAGACTGAGGATCCCTCTTGAGCAGTTGTGACAATTCATTGTGGAGACAGACATAAGCGGCATAAAAAGCGGATGTGAAAATGACTTTTATTAAAGTGTCCCTCAGGACTTTATCCGGTTTCTTCTGTTGGATTTAATGATATTGTTGATTTTCACCCGGGCTACGTCCGCGCCCCCTGGATAGGCTATGAGCCATATTTTAACGTCTACGACAGACATTCCTTTTCAGTACTTACTGTAGTAGGCGGCCTCTGGTCATAAGGGCTCGCGTTTGCATTAATTATACTTTGAGGGGAGAGAAAACACGACGGGACTAGTAACGTCCTGTGTGGATTCTGTTTGTCTGAGCGCATTCGTTCGTTTGTTCGGCGATCAGCATTTTTGATATTCATGAAACCGGCGGTATATTAAACGAACATGCGGTCAAAAACACAAGCGATTTCCTCAGCACTAGTTGAACCTATTCTCTAAATTATGCATAAACTGAGGGAAAGGACTTTTAGTTTAGCTGAACCAAATGTGTCAAAGCTGCAAATAGCTCTATTTCATAACATAAAACTTCTGCTAAATCATCTTAGGGTATCGTATTTATGAGGCATGCATGGGCATAAAATTTTTTAAGGACTAGAAGCCACACAATTGCGATCATCTGCCTATGTTCGTCTTCGGGGTACGAAATCCCCAGCCCAGGCTTCCTTGCCGACAGAATTTCGAATGGTATTCTCGGGCATGAGTAGGAGTTATTTCGGTCTAGTTAGATATTGAGGGTTAGGGGAAGGACACGGGAATAGAGAGCCCACTTCAATACAGATAGCCTATCGCTAAATTTCAGGAAGATAAATGTTTGAGTTAAGTTTAGAACAGGCGAATATTTCGCCCTTCCTATGATCTGACGCAAGAACATCTGCGCTACGAAGAAGTTCGTATTTCCATACTTTACCAAATTAGTCATCGCATTAAGTGGGGCTCACCTGATTCCTCCGCGCACATCTGCTACCAAGTAATGCTGTCTACTTTGAATGGGTTTGGGTCGACTCAAATTATGCAACAGTTTATTTATTTGGAACTTCGAATTTTAGATCTTTGCAGAACGATCGCGGACTGTTGCATCCCGTTGGTCAGCGTTTGGAATTCTCCACGCACCTTGCGAAGTACTTTCATTTTTTGCCCCTTTTGACAGTCCCCTTTCCCTTTTTGTGACCCTCCTTCAAGCATGATTAATGTTCTTTTAATAAACTAGGCTTATATTCTGACAGTGAGATTGAAATTCGTTTTGTTCGAATATTGAAAAAGCAATTTTTTGACTAGGGTATCCGTTTATGAGTTTTGTACGTATTTGCATTATTACGTTTATTCTACCAATAGTACCGTATATGCACCGAAATTTGTTTTTTGCTTATACGCGTCCCTCGGACTAGAAAAGAATTCAACAGGGGTTTCGCGGCCTCCAATGGAAAGGACTGCAGCCAACACGGAAATGGCTGCCACATTCGATGTTTATCTTTTGTGAATTTATGCGATTTCACAGTATGAAAATGTAATACGGTCTAATTGGCTCTTCATACACTACCAGAAGGGAAAATATATAAGATAGGGAAAAATTTGAGATATTCACTCAAGAATTAGACTGAATGTTTAGACACTTTAAACAGTTTGTAAGTTATAATAATTGCTCTGATTCTAACCTCAAGGAAATCGGGTCCTAGAATGTGAAGTTATGAAGAAAAATCTGCAGAATAATGTTTTGGAACATTTTTGGTGTCAATTCACGAAAGCAATGCGCTGTCTTTTTACTCGGACAGTGTACCTGCCTTAAATAGCAAATAACCTGAGCAGTTATTTAATCTTAAATACGCCTCTAAATGCCCACATGTGCATAGGTAAACAAGGAAAGTGTCTGTCATTCTTGACTTGAAGAAACAGAGAACTGGAGTCTTGGTTGTTGGTCTCTAGGACGTCCACAAGTCGGTGCTCAGGTATCAGCCACTTCTGGCACTTCCAAAGAACTGATAATATCTTGGTAAACGTTTTCTTGCTAAGCTGAGCACTGTTGATGCTCGACAGATCTCCAGGCACTTCGCCACCTTCGAAGACAGCAACGCATCTGTTGGTAAAATACCCACGACTCCAATCCTATTAGGTTCTCTTTTTCAATGCGAACTATCGAATATGGATATTTTGATCAATTATTTGTTCAAATGGGTCGTGCTACATACTCTTGTGAGTATTTCAGTTGATGCTGATTGAGCACAAAGAGCAAGCTGGTTGACTGCTCGCTACGAGGTCCTGGGACGCCCATGGATAGGCTTACGACTGCGCCTTATTGGAGCCAAGTTGGTGCTTATGCTAACCGGTAGGGTCGATCAGTGAACAGCGGCCGTTAGCGCCTCATATTATTTCGAAAAATGAAAAGAAACTGGTCTTATTGTGCAACCGCAGGCAAGCGCAATTTGTAGTTGCAATTTCAGCACCGAGTCATGTTTAACTGACGTGCTTCATCGCTCTGCGTCTCCCCTGCATTTCGCTAACTCCTAGCGAGTTTCAATAAGAGTTTTCCGTCACTTCGTCTGTTCTAATGCATGGGAATCCAGAAGTGAAAGGGGAGTATTCTGCCAGATAAGCCTTTCGAGCAATTGTGTAGGTGCTTTTGCAATCACGGAAACTCGGCAAAGAAGTGTGGAATTTTCAATTTACCTAATTTTTTGACTGGAAGTGTAATCTGTTAAAGGGCAAGTAGAGCAGTGTGGACGTACCGCAGGCTCGCAAAACGCGTCCACTTCATTTGTAATTGGAAGAAAGGAAAATTTAAGGTTGGATTGCATGCAGTCATACGATTCACGATAAATTTTGGCTGTTTTAGCATATCTGTTAAAATTGCAGGCATTTAGACTGCAATAGAATGTTTCTAGTTCCCCATCCATCCTGTGAAACAAACGCCAAACTCCGCATCGCTACTCGTCAAGCCGTTGCTTGGGGCTCTCTTTTTCGATAAACCGAATGTTTTAAGCCTTCGAGTTTGGGTGTTTTCCGTTACCTGAAGGTGCAGACTATTCCAAAACATCCACTTCT